ATTGTTGTTGTTCTTCTTACTGTTGTTGATATTTTTAATTGTTTTAGCCACATACACAGTAAAGCAGAAGTAAAAGAAATAATATAATAAGCAGCTAGAATATTCAAGTTGTGTTTGATTCTTCTTCTTCTTTTCTATAATTTCTGTTTACACTTTCACTTGCTCCTCTATAATAATAATAATTATTATAATTATAATCATAATATTTAAAGCCAGTTTGTCAACTAATCAAAGCTGAAGTCGGAACTTTGTCGAACTTTGAACCACATGATAAATGGAAATAATTAGGAATTTATAAGGGGTGACTAGTAGATACCCTATACATCAAAATGAGGTCGCTCAAAACTGTAGTCAGGCGACTTGAAGATACGCTGTATATATATATCATATAGGAATGATTGCAATAAGGGTGCTGATTTAGTGATACTCTATAGACATGCCTATAGGCAAGGCTCCGCTATGAAGATTAAAAATCATTCTCAATAGAGCTTTCGAGCCACACCTCACTTCGGAATGATTTGGGCAAGAGTTAGCGCCTAATAGATACCCTGTAGTCAGACATAAGCCAGGCTTAACATATTATCAGTTCTCTACACATATCAAAAGAAATACTTGCGTAATGGGTATTTGCTAGTCGGGCTTGCCACAAATTTTATCGTTCCACATTTATTGAGAGAATACTTAAAAATGTTGTCGTTCTAATTCATTCAAACAACTCAACAAATTTGAAATATTTATGAATTTGGCTTTGATCGTTTTCCATGGTCATCACTGTACTTGTGTAGTATTATCCATTTTGCTGCAGGATATGCTGTTGTCTTAATTCCGACTGGTTTCAAGTGACATTCCCATTGTGATGGTTTCATCCTACCTACGCCTCGCCACACCCCCTTCTTCTTCTTCCTACTCACCTCTTCCCCCTCCCTGAAGATGGACAGAACTCAGCGGTGCGTCAACTGTGTGATGAGTGTGCGAATACCCTGTAACTATTTAGAATAAAGTTGAGTAGAGCATATTAAAATTTTTGCATGTGTATGTAACGATTGTATTCTATTAGGTATTATGTTTACTCTTACTCTGACTCTGAATTGATTAGATAATAAAATAAACCCATTACAGAGTATTCTTGCAAAAAATAATTAGTACAGCGATTAAGAGAAAGTGGGAGGAAGTCACGGATAGAGTTCTAAGAAATTAATTTGTATTTCAACTAACTAGATATTTGTATATAGTTTAAAAAGTGTTATTAGTATGGGAAGTGATTCTTAGATCTATTGAGCCCCTTTCTATAGCTCTTCCATAAATTCTAATTCGAGCATGAACAAAAGAATTTCTATCATGTTGACCTTGAGTCAGGTTTGTGTGTGTTGCGAGTTTAACTAACTGGCTACAGTTCATAGATCTTAGCAATGTGCTTAGCTGTTTACAGGGCATTTCCCAGTCGTACACACTGCGCTTTAAAAATTCTTTCTCGTTCGATTTGAACTTCTTTGGCTTCATTTGCCACCCAAATGGCTAAAGTCAATGTCGAAACCGAAACGAGAGCGAAGCCAGTCTAAAGTATGCCTCATCAATCGTAACGTTTGTTCCCCTGGCTGCCCCTCCCCCTCCCCCCTGTACATCCCCCCTGCCCCTTCCACCTATCGGTTGCAAGGCGCAGCTGCGCCGTTTAACGCATGTTGTACAACATTTTAACGGCCAACCACTCGATGGATGAATGTATGGAAGCAAGGATAGAAGGATGGTGCAGCTAGGTGTGTGTGTGTGGCTGTGTGTGTGTGTGTGTGTGGCTGTGTGTGTGTGTGTGTGTGTGTGTGTGTGTGTGTGTGTGTTTGTATCTACCCGAAAGGCGCGCACAAGCGAGGTATAGATACACACACACACACAGTTGTAGATACAGATACAGATACACACACACTCGCAGGGGTGACTTTTCCCCGGAAAAAAAGGGATATAAAATTAAATAAGTAAATGGTATTGCTGCCTGGCTTGCCTGAAACTGCCAAACGAAAGGACTCTAAAGGACTCGCTCTTAACTTTAATTAATTTTCTATTTCTGTTTTGTCGATTGATATACATTTATTTATATAAATGTATTATTTTTAGACAACTGCCCTTGCGCTTTAAATAGCGCAAGTCTCCCAGTTCCAATTACAGCTGTCCCAATTCAGTTATGCCACATTAAACTGGGTAAATGCTAACTAAAAGAAATCAACTAGTTTCAAAAGTCATTAAAAATAATGTATATAGATATTCTTGATCAGCATCAAAAGCATAGTCAATATAGCCACATCTGTATGTCTATATACATCAAATTTGGAATTGAAGATCTCGTTTACTTAATTTATTATTATATTCAAGATAGCAATAAAAGACACTATTGTTAAGATATAGATTTTTAATTTATTTAATATGATTTTATTTAGTTTCTTATAATATACCCAAACATGTTATTGTTATTGATCAACTGTACAAATTCCATTAGGATCACACTTCTTAACTTAAATAAAATCAGTAAGCAGACAATAAATAATAATGGAGGTATGCCGCAACATTATGTATTATTATGTATTGTTTGCTTAGTGATAATATGCAGAGACTTAGCTAAATAAATAAGATATATATTATTGCGTGCTATTTAATATTTGTTATTTAACACTTGAGTGTTGATTAAACTGCTCATCGTTTTGTTGAACACTTTGTGCAATTTGCTGCGAGCTGATAACACTTGAACCCAAGCCAAATGATAGGCAGTAGTATATATATATAATATACTATATATACATATTAATTATACTTATTTATTAAGCGAATAATTCGAAATCAGATTTGGTTTTTAACTGGCAAAAACTGCTTAAGGATTTTTGGAATGCTACAGCTGCTCCATATATATAAATAGCAATATATTTAATAAATAATAATTGATTAAAATATGAATATTTATTTATTATTATTAGTTTTATATATTATTATTAAGTAACATTATACAACACTATTAATGTTATAATATTATTTATTGATTCCTTTTTATAATTTAAATCCTTTTTTCTGTCTATCGCATCCTGTCGGGATTCGTCTGCAGGTAGAGTTGAAGTTAAGTTATGTTTTTTATCTGTTTATTCTAAGCTTGTTTGCGCTAGATTTTCCCGCAAGCAAAACAAACAAAACTTAAATCAGCTTGAAAACAGCTGTCAGAAATTATCATAAAATTTGTTTAATCCGCAAGAAAAACATGAAATTAAAACAAAAATTTCAACGAACGAAAGTTAAAAGTTTTCTGATGCATACACAGGGTGGTGCACAGCAACACAGGCTGCGCTTGCCACAGGGTGTTAAGTGACATTTTTGGCTACATATTAAATGTGGCATGAATATATTAAGATCAATAAAAACAAACAAAGCAAAGGAGCACCGCAGGAGAAGCGGGAGAGTGATAGAGAGAGAGTAAGAGAGAGATAAAGGGAGAGAAATAAGGGAATATAAATCAATGTCGCATGCTGTTTGCTGCTGGGCGCCTGTGTGTTGAAGGGAGCACAGCAACTGGGAGACGCTGATGAGGAGACAGACTGACAGGCAGACAGAGAGACAGAGAGAGAGAGCAACAAACAACACGAAACAAGAGCAACAACAACAATAATTCCCAAGTGGTTCAAGTGTCGCTTTTGTCTACTTTTTTGCGCTAGTTTTGCTGCTGTTTGAACCGGTTTCATTGTTGTTTTTGCTGTTGCTGTTGCTTTTGTTGCTTGCTGTCTGTTTCTTGTTTGCTTGCGAATTTTCCAGGCTGTGTAGATGTATATATATATATATGTATATATATCCCGATTGGCTGCCACTTGCTGCAATTGCTGTGCGCCGCATCGCTGGTGGCACGAAACAACAACAGTGGCGCCCTCTGCAATGTTGCAGCAGCAGCAAAATGTTGCTGCTTGCTGCTGCTACAGCATGTTGCAGCTGTTTGCTGCCACTGCCACATGTGAAGCAGCAACAACAGCAGCAGCTACGCAGGCAACTCCAAACGACATCTGTTTTTATGCTGCATGAACCTGTTGTTGTTGTTGTTGTTGCTGCTGTAGTTGCAGTTGGTGTTGCTACTGTTGCTGTTGCTGTTGCAGCTGCAACAGCTTGCAACAGTTGGAGCCATCATGTCGCTGACAATTTGCATTTGATTTACTTGTGGGGCTTTTCCTTTTTGCGGTTTTTTCTTTCCAGCGTCGTGTGAACCGAAAACTAAAAAAGAAGCAAAAAAAATTATAATAATAATCTAAATAATGCCACGCTCATGGCGCTGTTGCTTGCCACATTTGTGGCATATGCATTTATTTGTGCAATATTTCATGATGTGAATTTATTAATATTAAATAGGTGTTGTTGTAGAAATGTTGTTGGTTTTTGACAGCTATATTTACCCATCTCAAAGTTGAGCTAGCTCTAATTGAGTTTCCTGACTTTATGACAGCCCTTCTATAAAAGTTATGCAAATTAAGATAATATACTCATAAGGTATTTCTATTCTTGATCAGCATAACTAGCCGAGTACATAGAGCCAAGTCCCAGTCTGTCCTTTCCTATATCTGTCTTCATTCTTTTTTATTTACTTATATTTATTATATATAATATAATAAATATAAAAAACTAAGAAACATATAATAAAAAATAAATGTGTAATTAAATGCAATGTTTTTTATGCTATTAACCGCTGTTCGTTTAGCTGAAGTGGCACGCAACACTTTCACATGCAACTTGTGGCAAAACAGTAGATACAATCTGCTGCTGATTGCCACATTGCCAAATTGTCGTCTTCATTCAGATTGTTATCAGGCTGAGAAGGCACAGGCCAAAGTAATAGTTGACATTTTCACCTAATCCGTGTTTCAACTGTTTCATCTTTACAGGCAACAACAACAACAACTGCTGCAACAACAGGAACAACAACACTGCCACATTTTCCACACTTATGGCCAGTAGGAAAAACTGCTTTTGGCCAACAAATTTAATTGCCATTGTACAAAAGCTGTTTGTTTGCTGATAAGCGGAGGAAGAAGAAGAAGAAGCCAGCCACCCCTCCAGCTCTGATTCCAATCAAGGGGTAAGTTTTGTGCCAAGCTATCATGCGGCATGCGGCATGTGGCATGTGGCATGTGGCATGCGGCATGTGAAGTATGCAAGACGGCGAACATTGCGCATGTCCTGATTCTTGAGCAGCTTTGCAGCGAGGGATGCTTATCAAATAGCGGGCTTCATTTACGCTTCTGCTTCTCAGTTTCAATCAGAGTTTTGTTATGAATTTTGAAGTTCCCAAACAAGAAACTATTCTTTGTAATCTCTAATTTCTCAGCAGAAAGCTTCTCCAAAGCCATAAACTATATATATTCTTGATCAGCATCAAAAGTGGACTTAGCCAGATCTAACTGTCTATCTGTATGCACAATTCGATTTCAGAGACTAGCGAGCTTTTTACCATGTTTTCTCTTATATTTCTTGGTTCCATTTATTTGTATCATTTGAAATGCACTCATGTGTGAAGCTCAAGCTTTATAGAAATTAAAAATTTTATGTTGTGTTTCAGTTTTCGCTTCTGTTTAACAGCGCGCAGTAATTGTCACATTCTTATCAGCAATAATTTCTTTAGCTTTCTCCCCGCATGCAACTTTAGCTTGTTACATATGTAAATTAACAGAGCTGCCCTCGCTGTAGTACAGCAACTGTAGCAGCAACAGCAACAGCAAGAGCAACAGAGACAATTAAGCTAATTGCTGTGCTAGATAGCACGAGCAGAAGAAGAAGCAGCAGAAGAAGAGGCTGCGGTGAAACACCAACCAAATACACCTCACTCGCTTGCACTCTCATACACACGCGAGCCTACCAACCAACCACCCACCCACAGCGAATGCAGTCGCATTTTGCTCTCTCGACACGCTCTCTCCCCACGCTCGCTCTCTATCTCTCTCTTGAGTGTTGGCAATGCTGGTTTGGGTTTGGGTGCGTTTTTTTTTGTTCGCTGCAATTGCGAGCTGAACTAGCTCTAAAAGCGGATCTTTCTCGCAGTTTGGATTAGGCGCCCAGCTGCCAGTTGAGCGAGTGTCGCAAATTTTGCGCTTTTCCGCACAGCTTTTCATTTAGCCATTTGTTTGCTTGTTGCCTGTTAGATTCCGATAAAAGTGACTTTTTGTCGGTCGTCGTTGGCGTCACTGTCAGCGTCATCAGCAGCGTCGCAGTCGCCGTCGTCGTCGTTCACCGTTAGCCGTTCATCGTCTCGTCGGCACCATTTTGTTTGGCGTCGTTTTCTAATGGGCCAACAGGCAGCGCAGCACATGGATTTATTTGTAGCCTAGGCAAAAGCGCTTTTCTTTGGGTTTGCAATTGGAATCGGAATTGGATGGAGTCGCGAGCGTTTATAAACGCGCGCGTTTTTCACATTACACGCAACGCTGATGTCCCATTAAAATGTGCCATAAAAGAAATGAAGGGGGGAGGAGGGTGGGGGTTGCAGAAAAACGTTAAATGTTTGCTGATTGTAATTAATGTGTAATCGAAGTAATTGATATACTTTTGAGCTTGTTATTCTAATTGCACGAAAAACAAACAATCATTTTTCATTTATTTTTTCTCATTGTGCTAAAAAGCACTTTTGATAAATTAAAATGCTACGACTGATGATTTCATATTTAATTTCAAGACGAATAGAATTTTAATACATTTTATGCTATAAAAAACTGGTAATAAATTAAAATACTCGAAAGTTCACGTTTAATTTCTAGACGTACATTGTATATTTTTATATATTCCTTTTTAATTTCTCTCAGCTCAAATTACCAATCGGCCACTGTGCTCATTTCTAATTGGCTGCCAAAAAACATTTCGGTTTGTGTTTACATTGGAAATCGTTTAAAACTTTTTAATATACTAATTTATGATATGTAACACACACTCACACACACACACACATAAATGCGCTCCTTCAAATGTTATAATATACTCCACTCAATACTTATGTTTCTCTCTGCAAGGGCATAAAAAAACCAATTCATGCTGTTGTTATTGTTGTTGCTGTGCTGCTCACACATAAAGCGAAAACCAATGCAGACAACAGCAACTCATACACACACATGCTCACATACTAAATACACACTTAAATATGGCGAGACAGTCGTCGAGGCGAGATAGCAGATAGAGGCTAACATTCACTCAGCAACAGCGACAGCAGCAACGAGCGAACGAGAGCGCAAACGAAACACTGCTGCTCTCTCACACCACAGACATAAATACTCGCACTCACGCTCTCTTTGCTCTGCATCGTTTGCTTGAACGTAACGTCGCTGCTTACGTTTGCTGGGAGCCTGTTCGTTTTTGCGATAGACGCGCGACGTAAGTCGCCGTCGTCGTTTTGCCTGAAAAAGTCGCCGTTGCACAGTGAACACAAATTCTACGTTATATTCGAATTTGACTAATAAATATCGTCATTCATTTTAGTTTCCAACTTTAGCTGTTGTAAAATTTTCCACTGTTCTTGTTTTCCATGCAAAGTGTGTTGATCTTGGGTCTTTGGCGTCATATTGAGCAAATAACATGGTGCAGCGGCTGTGCGCTTGTTAGTTTTTTTACCACTGTGCGCGCGATTGTCGTCGTCGTTGTCGGGCCGACGACGTTGCTGCTTGAACGCGTTTTTTTGTCGTCGCCGGCGATTTTTTTCTGATTTGCGCCGATTTTGCAATTTTCCATGCCGGCGGCGACTGTTACTTAACAGTGGCCAGGCAGACACAGTCTCAGTTAACAGAACGCGAACGCCTCGTACTCTCTCGCTCTCTCTGTTGTTTGCTTCTCGCTGGCATTGATTGCGAGAGCTGCTTAAAGAGTTTGTTTGTTGTGTGTTGAAAGTATTTAAGATGCTTGCATAAAGAAACGTTGTTTTTATTAGATTTTTAAATCAGCTTAAAGATGGCACAGTGGAGCAAAAGTAGTTGTATTTATTTATTAAATATACTTCAAATAAATGCAATTGTATATATTTAAATTAAAACACTTGCCATAGAAATTGTGTCGCCTGTGGCACAACCCTCCCTCTCTCTCTCTCTCTCTCTCACCCTTTTACTCTTGTGCTGTTATATTGTGTGAGCAGAGTTGAAGTAATTATGTCCCAAACGATGAAGATGTTAATGCTGTTAATGATAATTACAGCAGTGCTCTGCTTGCTGCTGCTGATGATGATGATCATAATAATAATTATGTCAAATTGAGTATCTCAAGTAAATCTGCTCATCTTCTTCATTCCTGCTTTTACAGTTAATGCTGTAAACCATTTTGTGACTAGCCAAAGCCAGAGCCAAAGCCAAAATTTACTGCCAGAATTTTTACTGCACGTAATTTTTATGACTGTTATCGATTTCTTAGCCTCCCCTCTTTCTCCTCCTCACGCAAAACAATGCAAATGTCAGTGAGGGATTTACTTAGAAGAAGGGCATGTAAAAAAAAAGAAAGCAATTCGCACTTTTTTCTTAATTAAATGCTCGAGCTCGTAAAATTTCTTATCGATGCTTTTGTTTGTTGTTTATTGTTATTGTTGTTCGTTCAATATTCGTAGTTTCAACTGTACTTTGAATTACAATCGCTATTGCTGCTGTAAAACACTTGACGTCATGTGACGTCACGCCAGCTGTTTAGTGCAATTTTACAAATTGCATTACTATCTGCTAATTGCTAGATGTAAAAAAAAACCCTATCTTAAATAATTATTAGACGTCTACACATAAATAAACACATACGTTTTAAATTAACTGAATGGGTTTCAATAAAATAAAAATAAATAAAAAAATAGCGCGTGGCTTAGTTTCCTAATTAAAATCAAACAGCCACAACAACAACAGCGAACAAATCGCTCGCCTTCAAATTTGACCTTTTTCGCTTTATGCTATTCTCTGCTGCTGCTGCTGCTGTTGCTCTCTCTCCCTCTCCCGCTCTCTCGCTTTGCTTTGCCAACCTGTGGGTGGCGAAAGAGTGCCAGTAACAGTAACAACAACAACAGCAATGTCAAATGTAAACAATGCTCAGGCCAACTCGCTCACACCAATGCTGTGAGAGCGCATCTTCTCGCTCCCGCTTCGCTCACTCGTTACGTTCTGCAGTTCGTTCGCTTGCGCTCTCTCCCACTGTCGTTGTCTGTCTGCGTCAGCTGACTGCCCATTGCTGTTCGCCTGTTCAAGTGTTCGGCCAAACCGCCGTTCGTTTGTATGCGAGCCGGAGTCCGTCGTCGCTGCTTGGCTGCTTTACTGCTGCTCGTTCGTTGTTCGTTGTTCGTTCGATCATCGAACGCGTCGCGTCGCGAGTAAAATTTCAATTGTTGTTGTTTTGGTTTTGGTTTTGTGTGTTCTTCTCAAGCCTGCAAACCCGTTTTGTGTTTACAGCTTAATTTGTCGTCCCTTTTTGTGTTCGCTGTTCACGTGCCACTTTGCAAAAGGTTTTTGCTCATTTGCGCCCACTGTCGCACACACACAGACACACACACACACACATAGAGCCACATACACACACATGCAACTCCAACATATTCGTTTGGTGTTCGCTGCTGCTGCTGCTGTCAGTTTGTCATTCATTCATTCAGCGGACCGCGTGCAGGCCAGTTCTCAACTCAGTTAGTCAGTCTGTCACTCTGTCAGTCTGTCACTCTCCTTAGCTTGCTTGCGTTTAATGCTTTTAATCAGTTGTTATTATTTGTTGTTCTTGTTTTAATTTTTGTGCGTAATTATTGTTGCTGTCTTCTCTTTTGGGCCTTTCTTTGGCATTTCGAATGCATTTTTTTTATCTTCGTGTTTTGTTTTCGCTCTATTTTGCATTTTGTCATCATTATTATTATTATTATAATTATAATTACTGTTTTTTGTGTGTGTTTCTATTTCCTTGTGTGTGTTTGTGTTTTGCTTGCGAGCACGTAGCACCTTAATTTTTATTCTTTTTTTTTGTTTTTTGACTCATATGGCTAGTCCGTGTCTTATCAGCAGTTACTGTTGTTGTTGTTGCTGTTGTCGCGCGGGGGGAATCCATAAGAACTAAAATGAGAAAAGTTTTTGAAAAATAGCGCAAGCAAAAACAAAAAAAAAAGATTCAACTTGGTGGCCAAAGTTTAGCACCAAAAAAAAGAACCTCGTAAAAAGTTTGATCTGTTTTAAATATGCCACAAAAAGTATCTGTGTGTGTGATTAAGTGTGCAATCCAAAAAAAAAGTATCTCAGATCAATCTTAGACATATTTAATACGTAATAAATACCTTTACTATTGTTAACTGTTGTTAATTCGGTTAAATGGCTTTCGCATGGTTACAGATTGATAATATTTTATCAGGCAATTGTGGAATGCGACAAGTTTCTAAATTAAACTGATTTTTCGTAACACATTACACTAATTACAGTTAGCTCTCAATACGATCAAATCTTATAAGATACAATGCAACTTAGATATGGTCGATTAACTAAAATTACCTTTTGAAACATTTTAGATGGTTTTTGATAAAAAAAATAATAATTAATTTGAAATGGGTTGTTACTGAGGTTAATTAATCAAATGTAAACTGATACGGTGCAGCCTCGATATGGTAGACTGAACTGAAGTCAACTTTCGAATCATTTTAGATTGGTGCTGATAAGAAAACTATAAAGAAGCATAAAAGTATATATAGCATTTTAAATTGTTTTTGATAAAACAGATTAATCACAAGTAAGTTGTTACTGACACTAGCTAATCAAATTTTATATGGTACAGTGCAGCTTCAATATGGTCGATTAAAGAAAGTTAACTTACAAAGCATTTAAGATGATTTCGATAAGAAAATTAATTATAAATATGTTATTAGTGAATGATTCTGTGCATCTTCGTAAAAGTTTCTTACTGCGAGTAGTTAATCAAAATGTATATGATACAGTCCATCTTCGACATGGTAGACTAACTAAAGCTATCTTTGGCAGCATGTTTTTTATATGAGAATCATACTCTGATATCGAACGCAGAAGCATGAAACTTGGTCTATATATATTCGTCTTAAAGTATTAAAATCGGGGTGATATGCTCACTGAAGATCGGGGAAATCGATAACATCGGTAAATGTAAATCGATAAGAGCTCATTCCTGGAAAAATTGCTGAAAGATTGGCATTTAAATTTCCCATTTGCTATCTTTTTTTTACAAGAATTGTTCATCGAATCTTGATAGAATTCTTAACTTCTAAATAATTAATAATTAACAATAAATAGCTGATTAATCACATAGTTTATTTTTCTCTTCTAGTCCTTCTAATTGCTTAACCTACTTAAATAGTTTATTAATCATATATATTTATTGTTTACTCTCTTGCAGGCACTGCAATATGTCCAGGCGATCGTTATATCGCTGCCTCATGCCTCACGACCCGCCACAACGAGCAGCGTAGAGTTTTCTTCTTCTTCGTGACTTGCCACAAATGCTTCCAACAAAACGGCAACAACAACAAATAATAATAACAGACAAACGCGTGCAACAAGTGCATTTTTTCAACGATAACTAACCAACTACACTGTGAGAAAAGCAGGTATTTCTTGTTGCTGTTTGCTTTTTTCTGTATTTGTTTTTGGGGGGGTTGGTCTTCGTTACTTCGTGCTTTCTTCGTTCGCCGTCGAGGAGGACGAGAGAGGCGAAGCAACGCAGCCACGTAGCAAGAAGGCCTCACCACGGACGCATTTATGGATGCGGGCGGCCTGCCAGTCTTCCAGAGCGCCAGCCAAGCAGCAGCAGCCGCCGTCGCCCAGCAACAACAGCAACAACAGCAGCAGCAGCAACAACAACATTTGAATCTCCAGTTGCATCAGCAGCATCATTTGCAGCAACAGCATCAAAATTTGGGCATACATTTGCAGCAACAGCAGCAGCTGCAATTGCAACAGCAACACAATGCACAACACCAACAGTTGCAGGCGCAACAACAACAGCAGCGACAACAGCAACAGCAACAGCAGCACTCACCCTACAATGCAACAGGCGGCATTGTTGGCAACCTTGTCGCTGGCGGCAACGGAGCTGGCGGCGTTGCAACTGCAACACAGCTCAACAACAACAACAGCGGCAACAACAGTGGGAACAACAACAGCGGCAACAACAGCAACCTTAGCAGCGGCAACAATTCACCCATTGATGGTGGTGGCATGCCAACGAAACGGCAACCGATTGTTGAACGTTTGCGTCGACGCATGGAAAACTATCGCAGGCGGCAAACGGACTGCGTGCCACGCTACGAGCAGACCTTCAGCACCGTCTGCGATCAGCAGAACCAGGAGACAACAGCGCTCCAGAAACGATTCCTCGAGAGCAAGAACAAGCGTGCAGCCAAAAAGACTGAAAAGAAACTGCCGGAGACCCAACAGCAACAACAACAGCAGCAGCAACAGACTCAAATGTTAGCCGGACAGCTGCAGAGCAGCGTGCATGTGGTAAGTGCAACCCTTCCATTATCCTAGATAGTAGTCTATATCGAGTATCTACTTTAAATTGAAGCCAAAACAATTGACAATTGGTACTCATCTATGTTTGATGTTTTTGTGGAGTACTATTTTGAGTGGAAATATTGTTTTCAGATTTAAATGTGGTATTATTCTGAAGGTCGAACCATGATTAAGAAGCCCTGCTTTTTGAAAATTTGGATCACTTTTGACAAAGTTTGGAAGTATTTTGGAAGTTTTTGTTTTACAAAATCGGATCAGTTTTGTGGGAGTTATAGCTGCTTGGAGAGTCTTTAAGTTGTTTTTAGGAACAAGATTTTAAACAGGATTTTCGAGTCAAAATCACGTTAAGTGAAGTTTTTATCTATATGATAAGTAATGATCAGAAAGAGCTGGGTTCGCCTTACTTTTGACAGAGTTATAGCACTGGGAAGTTTGGTGCAATTGCATCCCAATATGTGATGCACTTCTAGCATTACATAAAGGAATGCTCTTCATTTAATTTGTGCCAAATAGGGTTTATTGAATTAAACACGAAACACGAAACACGAAACTACGAAAAATGTAGAATAAAATCAACATTATTTTTCGGAAAAGTGTGTGTTAATAATTTGGAATCATTTTAATTATTGTTCTGGCAAAAAGCTTTTGAGCTAAATTTGTTTTTGCCACATGTGCAAATCACATGCATGCATATCGATATATGTATGTATATATATGTACATATATATATTTAGATGTATGCGAATTCCGGGTTTGCTTTTGGTTTTGGTCTCTACTCAGTTAGATGCGTTGCAGCCGTCGCAGTATTTGGACGTATGCATGCTTAGATACATGTGTATCTGTCAGATACATCTCTCTCCCTCTCTCGCTCTCTCTCTCGCTCTCTCTCTCTCTCTCTCTCTCTCTATGCCTGTCTCTGTCTCGGCATGTCGGCAAGGCTCATTGTGCTGCTTATTATTATGTTTTTGGGCGCAATATTAGAGCTGGTGCACGAAACGAAGCCAGCACACTTTGAGTTACACACACACACACACACACACACTTGCACACTCGCACACACACATCAGACTGCACACTACTTGTGTATACATAATAATAATGAGGTCAGCGTTATTATTTTTTTTTTACTTATTTATTTTGTGTTTTTTTTTTTCAGTTCAGTTTCACTCGCTGCTGCCAAAGTTGTAGCTACAAGATACTTTTTTTTAGTTATTATTGTAGGTACTGCGAACTGCTTTGGCTTTGGCTTGTGCATTTTAAATACCTTGAAAATTTTTTGTAAGCCAAAGATTTTTCTCGACAGAGACAGAGACAGAGAGAGAGAGAAAGAGGGAGGGCGAGAGACTCCCTAGATTGTGTCTCTCTGTCTGCCTCTCGATGTATCCATCTCAATCTCGAACTCAGTTTCAGTTGGCTAGGCTTGCAACATGTCTGTCTGTTTGTCTGACTGGCCAACGGGGCTGACTAACTGACTAACTGACAAACTGACTGACTGATTGCAACTCTAGTTTATATAATTGTTGGTTCTGCCATTCGCCATTCGCCGTTCGTTGATTGTTGTTTGTTGTTGTATTTTTCGTTGTTGGTTGTTGCAATTCTAGAGACCCGTGTAATTGCCACAAATTTACACAAGTCAACTTCATCTCAATCTCAATCACAAACTCTATCGTCATCGTCATCGTCATCATTATCGTCTTTGGTCTCGAAAAACACAACTCTTAAGTTTCTATTTCTTTTTATCAGCTCTTGCTGCAGCGCTCAGTTGCAACGTGAGTTATTCGCATTTCTGGCAAAGCTGACCAGTAGCCAATCTATGAACTCAACTCGGCCAAGATGACTTTACTCGAATTGCATTCGACTTGCATTCAATTTCTGGCTGCACACTTTTAAATACCCTACACTGAAACAAATTTTGAGTTTGAATCTTTGACAATTTTTAAAGAAATGTTCTTGCTTAAGCAAAGGTTTAATATACCATACCTTTTATGCGTTTAATTAATTCAAGATTCAGTTAAGTTGTGCTGTGAAGTATTTATAGAAATGTTTTCTGGAGATCTGCCATATATATATTATCCAAATAGAGTTTTATCCTATTCAAATTCATAGAGTACAGGACCTAGACTTGTAGACTGCTTTAACCAAATATCTGTTTTATCAAAATATCTCTCCCTTTTCTTTATCTATCTTTATCCATATTGCAATCTTTAGCTTCAAGTTAAACAAATATCCCACACTATTCCCTTCAGCTAGCTTTATCGCCAATCAATCTGTAAATAGAAATCTTTCTACAGGGTACGTGTTAGTCACTCAATTTTATTTATATTATATTGATATATATAGCTTTATGGCTTGTCGCTTAGCAGACACTATCTGTGTTATCTACATTTTATCTAATCTATCAATCCAAATAGCTATTTACAGGGTATCTATAAGTCACCAATGATTGGTTTATATGCTCGCTCGTTAATCAAATATCTCTTACAATGCTTTCCATCAATCTTTATGATCCATCGATAAACGTATGTCATTTTATTTTTATTTATTTCATTTTATTAACATTTAAAATATATATATTTCTTTTAATTCTACAGGACATGTTTTAGTCGTTCCGATTTAACCTCGTTTCATTTCTACTTTTTCCGCATCCGTTTGCAATGTCATTTGTGTCATGTGCGACCGGTAATCATTCACTTGCATCTGTGTGTGTGTGTGTGTTTGTATGTAGTCAGTACCCATTACCCACTCTATCCTTCCCTCTCCTTTCCTTAACCACCACCCCACCTGGGTTTGACCGATGCAAAGTTTTTGTTTAATTTTAATTGGCTTGCAAGTAAGTAAGTAAGTTCTTTGTCGTCGTTTCTCTCTGGCTTCTTTCTGTTGCTCTCTCCCTCGCGCTCTCTCTCTCTCTCTCTCTCTCTGTTTCTCTTTGTAGTTGATTCACTTTGGAAAGACTTATCTCTTATCCGTGAATAATAATTTACAAAGAAAAGCCTTAGCTCAATGCGATAAATGCTGTTATTATCGCTATTCGCATACCTTCAGCCTTAATCGCTGCCCAGTTGGGTTGAAGGCCCAACTTGTCGGTTAACCGCAAAACTCTGTCGAATTATGTAGAAAATATGGATAATTTGAAAAAATACTCAATGCACAGCTTTAATTTGAGATTTGATATGAAAAACCACTTGAAATATTCGATTATGTACTCAACTAGCTTTATTATTAATTACTCAAGTTGTCCAGCAAAGCTTGAGGATTAAATAGCAAAACTCTTAAGGATATTATAATTTATTGAATTTGTCAAGCAAAGCTTGAGGATTAACCAGAAAATTCTTAAGCACAGCTTGGCAAAAGATCTAAACTTAAATATAATCCACATATTTGCATTAATCAAAATACAATTTGAGCAAGTGGAAACGTTTCGTAGACTGAAGTCAAATTGGCGACATCAAAATTGTAGTATAAATTAAGAAAAATCTACAAATTGTTCCTTTGAAAGACTGACTCTGATTTTGATGATTTTTGTTCAAAGCAGCAAAGCTGATGAGTTTAGTTGGAATAAGTTGTTAAATTAAATAGTTGTTAGTAGTCATCCAATTCGGCCAACTCTGACAAACCTGCAACAAAAATGTGGAACTGAGGCTGAATTCCTGAATACCAAACTATTTAAAATTATAGGCATATTTTGAATCTAGTTCAGTATTCCCAGAAATGAGTGCAGTTTTCAAGCAATTCTTGAGAAATCTGTTCGGTTTGCAGTAGATGTGTGAATACTTTTTGCACTGTGCCTAGTTATTCAGTGAAGCGACTCGGCGACAGGTGGCATTAGAAATGCGCAAATGAATGATTGAATTGAATGAATGAATGAATTAATGATCAACTGTTCGTTTGTCCATCGAGCTCGCGTCCGGCCACTGAGCAGGGGTCCCAATCTAAACTAGCCACTGGCTTTTCACTTTTCTTTGCTGGTTTTGGAAAACTTTTACTGCTGTTTAGTATTGTTGTTGCGGTTGGCAGTGAAAATCATTACAAATTACGGCCAACAATTGCAACATGCAAAACAAGAAAGCAACAATAGTAAAACATATTGTTTATAATGCGTTTTTTATTTGGGAAAGTCGCGTGTTGCACTTTTTTTTCTTCTCTTCATTCTCTCTTTCTTGCTTTTGGTTTTTTATTATTATTTTCTTGTTTTTGTTGTTTTTGTTGTTATTTTTTTTTATTGGCTTCATGTTGTCTTTGCTTGTTTTTCATTGTTTGCATTTAGTTCGCAGTTGTTTTTGTTGTTGCCAATTTTCACTTCACGTGGTGGCATTTTCTGACACACATCACTCAAAGAGTCACAGCGTTGCATGTTGCCTACCCCAAACACCCCCAGCACCCCCCTCCACCCCTCACGCTCAAAGCTTCATTTACCCTTCTGCCAGCTTTCGACACCTTATACCCCAAGCCCCAAACCACCCTCCAACCCCCCCTTAGAGTTACCAACTTCCAGTTTTTCGTGCTGTTGTTTCAAGTGCGAGATTGCCTTGTTGTTTGTTGTTGTTGCTGCTGTTTGTTGTTGCTGTTGCTGTTGTCGTCAGTGTTGTTGTTGTTGGCTTGATTGACAAGTGACAACATATTATTGGCGTATCGTTTCAAGCTCAACCGACTTGTTGTTAAGTTAGTTGCAAAAGTTGTTGTTGTTGTTGTGGCATTGTGTTTGCCTGCTTTGTGCAACTTGAGGTGTTTTTCACTTAATATATATAAAGTATATACATATGTACATATATATATTTGTATTACGGCGATTTTATCTATACAAATTGCTGCACAAATTGCTACAACAAGTGTTGTTGTGAAATTATTTGTTTAGCCCGATTCTCTTGCTATTGTGGGGCATTTGACAGGCCTTTTGCAGTTATCTAGATTTTTAACTGAGTGTGTGCCCTTTCGGATAATTTTGGATAAGTCCGTGTAAATGTATGTAATATCTTATCTGTTTTTGACAG